TTACCGTGAAACGCACGATTTCAATCATGTTCTCCTCCAAATGCCTACTCATATGCTTGGCGAAGTGCGTTTCTGAACTCTTTGAGGCAGTGTCTCGGCAAAGTTTTGTCTTCCAGTGTTTCATTTTTTTAGAGCCTCCTCGCCATAGGTGCGATAGGGGGAGCCGGGATCTCCCCAGGTGAAGGGGGTCTCGGCTGTTCCCGACCTTCCAGGGTGAAGGGGGTATGTGAGTCTGGGGGGGGGGGGGGGAAGAGAGAAAAGGTAAGAAAGCGTGGTATGAAAGGCTCTAATTTGTACCTTATTTAGGCACAAATTGAAAAAAAATTTAAAAATTTTCAAAAGAAATTTAAAAATTTAAAAAAAATTCATTATGAAGATCTGTGCTCCTGTTTCACTGCATCAACAAAAAAAGCAATAAGGTTTATCCCAAAAGATGTAGAAGTTAGGAACAACTTCATTTCCTGCGCATCATCATCAACAATATCACTATCGCTAACGTCAGAGACAACAAATTCGGTGCCTGAAAATTCTTCTTCTTCCTCCAAAAGGTCATCGGAGTGGAAGTAGAATTGCGTGCAAAGCGTTCTAAGTCAAAAATGGATTTGAAACTTTTTTCTTCTTCTGAGCACTTTTGTGATTTTTTTCCTGGCCCTCTGGTAGCATCAGGAAGTCAGCAGGTAGGTGACCAGTTTTTTCATACCATCTTTTAGGATATTTCAAAAAGTCATACGGTAACAGCCTGTCTGGACCACTTATACCAATCCTTTAAATGAAGTTTTTAGATAACAATGTGTTTAGTAGAAGGTGACAAATCTTAAGTATTTGCTTAGATGCTCTATCGTTGTACGACTTCTGCGCTGTGTTCTGATAAGAGAGTAGATAGAAAATTTCTTTCTTCACCTCTGCCGTGCTAGTCGGAATGGAAACTAGCTTTGCTAGTAAGTCCATTAGATTTTTGCGGTAAGTAATGGGAAAAGAGCCAGATCGCATATGCTTTCGCAACACGAGAAGGAAATAGTGCATGCTTTTTTGGGCCTTTTCGAACTCTGGCTCACCTCCTCTGGCATACTTCCTGTTAACTGACGAGAAAGCTGCTCAACTTCTTCTTCAACAGCATCTGCGGAATAGCCGAAAAAAAAGTAGATACTATGCTGCGCGTTGGTTTTTTTTTAATATCATAGGTTATAATGTCACAAGGCGAATAACTTCCAAAAGCATAAAGCACAGAGTTGGGTTCGCACTCCAGCCGGGGATCTAAGTGCAGTAACTATGCTTTGTACTAACACCTTCCTTTTGTTCATATCCATGTTTGTGAATTTAGCAGCCTTGAATTCTTCAGCAACCTGAAGACCGGCCAATGGACTTCCCGGACATTTCTTCATTGAAACTAGACATTCTGCTTGGATTCCTTATGCAGGAAATCAGAGAGTTTCGCTCAATTGTCAACTCTGTGTCAATGTCGACAATATTTTCGTTGGCGTAAGATTCTCCTTCTGTCTCGCTATTGAACTGGAACTCATCTGCGATTTTGTAAAGCATTCTGCCTGCCGTTTCCTCTTCAAACTGCTAACCTTTCCAAAACATTGAGGAATAATTTAATAACATGTTATTCTTCTGAATGTCTTAAAGTTTTTGATTCATTGAACTCAACCACGTTCTCTACAAATTAGGTAAGGTGAGTCTAGAGCGTTTTCATGAAAGTGACCTTATTCAGCACTAGTTTACAGAGTATAGATTCCAGAAATGGGCAGGTTTTTGTGTGAAGGTGTGGAAATTTACCAATCTTTCATAGTTTTTTGAGTGTGCGCTAATAATGATGGCATAACTGTCAATCAAAAGCGCATTTTTTACCAAAAAAACATAAACATATAACAAGGATAAGGACGCTCAAATAGACGCGTTCGCTTACGTTCCCGTTAGTGCTGATAACGATGTCAATCCACAGCACATTTTTTACTATTAACTTGCTCCACCTCGCTCTTATTAGGTCGTCCAGAAAGTTTTTGCGCATGAATTTCAAAATTCATAACTTCTGATTCTTCGAACCGATTTGACTGCTTTCACTTTTATGTGAAAGGGTAAGTCATGCTCTTTATAATGACTTCTCAGCTGCTTAGTAACGGTCATCTGTTGCATAGATAGGAGCTATAGAAGAAAAATGGTAAAAATTTTAATTTTCTGTGTAGGGTCATAAAAAGGAGACTTGCAACAAAAATCGGAGCATTCAGTACTGTAGGATCTTTCACTAGCTCTTTCTAACAGTGCAAAGTTTGCGCCGATTGAGTGTCTCCATGAAAAGTTATGATTTCCCTGAAAAATGCCAAAATAAATCAAATTCGCCTTTTTGTATTGCTTGCTCGGAAATCATAACTTTTCATGGAGACGCCCAATCGGAGCAAACTTTGCACTGTTAGAAAGAGCTGGTGAAAGAACCTACAATACCGACTGCTCCGATTTTTGTTGCAAGTTTCTGATTTTTTATGACCCTACACAAAAATTCAAATTTTGAGTGATTTTGGTTTTGAGCTTCTATCTATGTAATAGATGAGCATTACTAAGCAACTGAGATGTAGTTATAAAGAGGATGACTTACCCTTTCAAATAAAAATGAAAGCAGTCAAATCGGTCGGAAAAATCAAAAGTTATGAATTTTTGAAAATCGTCCGCAAAAACTTCCGGGACGATCTATACAATGTGTTGGCTTTTACGGGTCACCGAAGTAAATGATTTTAAGAGCCGGGAAGCAAAGAAGCCCTAACATGCTGTATACCGTTTGAAAGCTGAGATCATGGAGAATCGACGTAGACCGTCGACTTTTTTCTAGGTCTTCTGTGCCGCGAGATATGAGGGATTTTATGTGCTTCAAAAATTAACTGATTTTGTGCCCTCACTTTCTGCTCTACAAATGAATGCTACGAGAAAGTCGACGGTCTACGTTTGTTAATGAAGACATGCTCTTTAACATAGATAGATAACCAGCAGTGATTAGGTCTTCATTTGGCAGAAATCTGCTGTTGAAAATGACCATGTTTTCAGATAAAATGCGGTGTATCTCTCGGTAGAGGGGGGCTAGAAAGAAGTCGACGGTCTAGATCGAATCCCCTTTTCCTGAGCTTTCGAATGGTATATAGGTTGCTGGGCGAAAAAACAGACCAGTTTTCAAAAATGGGGTGGAGATATTTACTATTAGCTTGCTCCAATCCGGCTCCACCAATGTATTGGCTTTTATCGGTTACCGGAGCAAATGATTTTTAGAGCCGGGAAGCAAAGAAGCCCTAACATGCTGTATACCATTCGAAAGCTGAGATCATGGAGAATCGACGTAGACCGTCGACTTTTTTCTAGGTCTTCTGTGCCGCGAGATATGAGGGATTTTATGTGCTTCAAAAATTAAC